CCCTGCCCTTCTCGATGGCCTGACAGACGTACCTCCAGCATCCCGTCCCAGACAACTGGCCATCCCTCTCCCCTCCAAGCCTTCCTCCTCCCGCGCTCCCTAGCCACGGAGGCACCATCATGCACCCCGTTGCCTGAACAGAGCCCCAAGGCACCCCAGATTCCAGGGTGTCCTTCGTCCTGCACACTCGGTCGGCTCCCAAGTTTGGTTGGTGATGCTTCCCGAGGGTCACTCTAAGCCGCTCCTGTCCGTCCCCTACACTTCGCCTTCTCACACATATACTGCCACCCTGCCTGCCTCTTCCAGGCTCCCACAGTGCGAATCTGGCCTCGAGGCTTGCCTGTTAATTCCTTCAATGGCTCTCTCTGGCTTTGAGGGCAAAATTCAAGTCCCTGAGCTGCCTGCCCACACCATGCCGGGTTTCACCTTTGCTCCCGTGGTTCCTACCTAGAAGTGCCTTCTCACTCCGTCCTGTCCTTCGGATCCAGCTGGCTACCTCCTGCTCGACCTGGGAGGCCTGAATGTCACCTCCTCCCGGAAGTCCTCCCTGATCACTTCCATCCCTCCTTGGTGTTCCCAGATGGCTCACTGCCTTACGTGAAAATATCGTTCCCCTCTCCCTTACTGATCAGAGACTGCTTTGAGAAGAAGATCTGGTCTGACTTTATTCTGATGTCCCAGCTTCCTCCATGGAGCTGGCTCTGAGATGACTGTTGGATTATTGGATAAGTGAATGCCCTGGGACATGGATGGCCGGGGCTGAGGTGGCTGAAACCCGGGTGGTGGTAGCTGGGGTGGGAACGGCGGTCTCCCAGTGGGGCTGGGCCCCAGGCTCACCAGTACAGAGCAGGCCCGTGCAGATCCATCGAAACAGCTGTGTGTGCTCCCGGCAGAAGCGTCTGGCCCTCAGAGCAGGCTGCAGGCTCCTCCTGGGGAGAGTGCCAGTGGGGTCCGCGAGTCAACTCCCACCATCAACAGCTCCAGGTAGAAGCTACTCGGGTACCCCCCCCGCCCCAGGGCACTGGCCTCGGCATCACAGGACTAGGGCAACCCCAGCCCAGAACAAACTAAGGGTCGGCTCAGGCCACCCCGCCTTCCAGCATCACCACTGCCCTTGAGTCCATTCTGCCCTTGGGCTTGGGAAGGACTTAACTGAGATGATGAGTAAGAACCCAACCAAATGCAGAAATGCACGAACCATGATGGCTGCCTCCCTCCCCTGTCCCAGTGTCCCCCCTGTCTGTGGGGCCGGATGGAGAGCTCCTAGCTCTGCCTTGTTCCCCGGGGACCCGGAGACTTATCCTCCAAGTCAGCAGCTCCCCCTGCAAGAGAGCCTGTACACAGCCCACCCCCTGCCCGGCGGTCACCACCTGCCCCCCACCTTCCCGCTGGTGCCAATGCCATTCTTGCCTGGTCTTTTGGTCGCTTGTCTATCCCTGGAGAAAAGGCTGGCACTTGGCCTCTGGGGACCCACAGGCCACACTTGTAGGAGCTTCTGTTTCAAGGAATGCCTCTGCCCCTCTCTGGCCCCAACACCTGCCCCCCTAAGGGAGGCTCTTCCCCAATCTCCCATCCAGAGAGACAGATGGACTCCCTCCCCTCCACCACCCCTCCTCTCCTTGCCATCCTCGGCTCAGGATCTGGCCAGCGGGGACCCCCAGTGAGCCTGGGCATCAGCTCTGGGTCACCAGCCTCCCCGTGGGAAACAAGGGGACTGGACCGCTCTAGGGGTTTTCAAACTAAGCCTCGAGGATCCCTGAGGTGCCCCCAGGGACTGACTGGGGTAGAAGGCAGATGGGGAGGTGGAGAGGGGGGGTCAGGCTGGTTCAGGACCCCCTCCATCCAGCTTTAGTCAGAACAGGCCCCCTGTACACATTGGGGCTCCTGATGCGGTTGCCTTCTGGCTGCTTCAGAGCAGGCTGGCCGCCCCTGGCCCGGCTCACCCCGAGGCAGAGGCCAGCAGAGCTCCCTTGTCGGCTAACGCGTTTGTTCCTTTCTTCGACCAAGGTTCCGGGAGCCCCTTCTCTGTTGTCAGGGGCCCAGCTTCCCTGTCCCTGCTCCCCACGGTGGCCTCCTCCCCGGGCCAACGCACGTCCCTCCTGGAGAGCACCTACCGTCCTGACAGGGGCTCCGGGCTGGCCTCGGTCCAGATGTCCCCACCCTCCGCACGGCTTGAGTCGTTGCCAGGGGTCCGGCCTTCCTCCTAGAGCGACCAGAGAGTGACCAGAGGGTGCCTGCGGCCCCAAGTGAGAGCGGAGGGAGACCCTGGCTGCCGCCAGTGTGCCCACGGGCATCTCGGGAGTGGGCTGGGGTGGGAGGGCGGGGCTTTTGCCCAGGAAATAATTAGAGGGCGACTTAGTTAAGTTCCGCAAACCACACACCGAGCACCCACAGTGTGCTGGACTCAGTG